ACAAGTCAAGGTGAGGGACCCTGACACATCGAAGGTAAGAAATGTCATGTACAAAGGGTTCACATCTGAGCTATTTGTGCCTTACATGGATCCCACAGAAGGGTGGTACTTTAAGACATACATGGATGCTGGTGAGTATGGATTTGGGTTGCAAGCAATGCCATTAGACCCCTTGAATGATTGCCCACGGAATGCTTACTACATGGATGGTGTGTTTGCCTCTTCCGATGGAACACCTTATCTCCAACCCAACATGATTTGCATTTTTGAGAGTTATGCTGGTGACATTGCTTGGCGACATGCTGAGTGCCCCATCACTGACCTTAAGGTAAGCTTTTCTCTCATGCAAACTTCAAACTAAAATGTGTCTTTCGTTTGATGTCATGAAACATTATCCAAGCCAAAAGTTACTGTATGTAGTTTGTTCATTTATGTAAATTTGAGAACCTCTGCATTAAAACATGAATCAGAACACACCGTTTTAATCATGAACATTCACAAAATTATGAATTTTTACTATTTTCAAGTTGCCAGTTCAATGATCATGAATAACGATACCTTGCTCTTCATATAGTTCAATGGATTTATCTCTTAACCTTATTTTGGGTTTGGGCTATTATGGCAGGTTACTGAAGTGAGGCCGAAGGTGACACTAGTTGTTAGGATGGCAGCCGCAGTGGCCAACTATGACTATATCGTGGATTGGGAATTTCAAACCGATGGCCTAATCAGATCAAAGGTTAGTGATGGAAATTCCATTTAGTTGCTATGTATTATTGCTTAGCATTGATTGTCTCCCAGTAACCTCTGCAGGGATGTGTACAATAAACTAATCAACGTTTGATCTGATTCGTTAAAATAATACAAAGTATGGCTCGATCTAAACTCCCTGACAAGTTAGTGTAGAATAAACTAATCAAAAGTTACGTGATACACGATCTTATAATGTATGGCTGCAATCCAAGATTCCTGAAAACACTTAACATCGATTAATCAATTGCACGCGACTTCATGCACATTTTTCAATAATGCCACCCTTACGCAATATGTTGGGTTATGAATTGTGACGTTGTTCACCTAATAGGAAAATGGACAACTTGCACTAAAGATTGATATGATTTGGGGGTGAGAAGAAAAAAGTTCTCTTGATTGACGATCGTGTTTTATCTTATTTAATTTGTATTCAGTAGTTTATGCTGAAGTGTAGGCATTTGTCTGCTGCAGGTTGGACTAAGTGGAATCTTGATGGTGAAAGGAACTACCTATGAGAACATGGGCCAAGTCCCAGACAAAGAATACCTTCATGGAACCCTTTTGAGTGAAAACATTATTGGTGTAATCCATGACCATTTTATCACATATTACTTAGACATGGACGTTGATGGCTCTGAAAATTCATTTGTTAAGGTAAACCTAAAGAAGCAAGAGAGCAGCCCGGGAGAGTCACCTAGAAAGAGTTATTTAAAAGCTGTTAAAAAAGTGGCAAAGACAGAGAAAGATGCTCAAATTAGACTTCAACTCTATGACCCATCCGAATTTCATGTGGTGAACCCATTGAAGAAGACAAGGGTTGGGAACCCTGTTGGGTACAAATTGGTTCCAGGTGCCACAGCAGCTAGCTTGCTGGATCCAGAAGACCCACCACAGAAAAGAGCAGCCTTTACCAACAATCAAATATGGGTCACTCCTTACAACAAAACCGAGCAATGGGCTGGTGGCTTATTTGTTTACCAGAGCAAAGGCGATGATACTCTTCAACTGTGGTCCAACAGGTCACAGATTCTTTTCATGATTCGACCTTTTTATGTCGTGGTTCAATGCTAGTCTATTATCATGAACGTCACATTTGCTGAAAGAAAATTTCCCTCACTGACATAATAGCTATGAAAGGGAATTTAGGTGAAGTGGAGTAACCACACACTTTCTGATATACTTTTCTCAACATATATATTATTATAGGTTGAATTAATGTAATCCATCACATTAGAAATAGGACCACTAAATTAGATATGAAAGACAAATAGTTGAAATTCATGTACATCCATCACTTTAGAAATAGGACCACTAACTTAGAAATAGTTGAAATTTATGTACATCCATCACTTCAGAAATAGATGACTAAATTAGAGACGAGAGACAAATAATTTGACCAAATATAGTGTGCTGAAAAGAATGCTAAAGAGTACGTGGTGGGAGAGGTTACACTCTTATGCGTATGTATACGTACTTTTGAGGAATTAGTCTTTAGCTTTTCACTGGAGTCACCCTGAGTGAGGGAAGCAAAGTAAGTATTTTACATGCAATTCTCATTACATATTGGCAAAATAAGACAATTTAAAATCATTATTTGTGGGAGATAATTAGAGACAATTTAGGACCAATATGGTTTATTATTTCATATCTTCTTGTCTTTGTCGTGGAAAAACTACAGGAAAAAGAAATTTTCGTGTACTCAATAAACTCAGGTTGGACAAAGTGCTCACTCACCAAATGCTGATTTTTATTTTTTATTTTTAACTTCAAATTCAATTGCTTTCCTCAAAGATACCATTGAGGTATTGATATAAAATTTCCGATCATATGACTTCGTATTATGTTTTTAATTTCGCAAACTGTTTGATATTTGAACGTGCAGGGATCGTCCAATTGAGAATAAGGATATAGTGTTGTGGTACACAATAGGATTTCATCACATACCATGTCAAGAGGACTACCCTATCATGCCTACTGTGTCATCAAGTTTTGATTTGAAGCCTGCTAATTTCTTTGAGAGGAATCCAATCCTTGGAGTGCCTCCCAATTTCGATGAAGATTTGCCTGTTTGCAAGGCTCATAAATCAGCTTGAGATTCCATCACATGGTTTAGTCCAACTACATGCATGCTTTATTTTTATACATGTAGAAGATGATGCCAAACTCACCTTTAAATAATTAGTAAGGGCAGCCAAACTTGGAATATCATGTTATAATTCTAGAATGTGACTTGAATCATAATGTATATAAATATCAGATTCTCTAGCTACCATCTTTTATATGATAACAGACATAAATATATTCCAAAAAATTTAATAAAGAAGCAAATGTGTTGGTAAGATCTTGAGAAGTTCAAAGTTCTACTCTAGTCAAGATGACCATTTGACTAAGGCATATAAAAAGCACAAGGAAATAAAAAACGCATAATATGCCAAAAACACCTCATCTTATTAAGTGTTTTCACATCTTCATAATATAAACATCGACTTTGCTCCCCCTTAGCTTGCTCTTCTACCTTTATCCAATCTTCATTATTTTACTCCCCTTTTGTCAATGCCAAAAGCATCATCTTAATTTGATGAGGAAATGAGAGGAAAATCAACATCAGATTTTGTGACAACATGTTTCAAGTACTCATAGAGACCTTTCTTAGACTTGGAAGACCTTTTCAACTAGTGTCTAAGCGAAGCAACCTCTTGGTCAACTAAGTCTTTCTGAAAGATGGTTCAAGATTTGTTTAGATGAAGTTGTTTTCTAACATTGTATGTCTTGAATAGCTACCCAAAGAGTTATTCAAGAAAAAACACCAATTAAAGCTTGGATAAGAGTGAAGCCCATCAAATTAATATGTGTATATTGTTAGGTATTTTCAAGAAGGACAACAACACTAGAAGATATTTATGAATGAGACCAAAAACTAATCATATAAGATAATATGACACCACATTCAATCCAAAATTTTGGAGGGTCTTTCTCATTATATATTACCCAACTTTCTATTTCTATCCAATGTTGGATTATAAAACAACTCACTATTAAATTCTAATAATTCTTCATTAAGTTTGAGTCTCTACGTATTGAAATACTCTCTCTCGAGTGGAGGCATCTCTTATGCACGAGTATCTTAGTGGTGACCTCTATTTGTACATTGTTTAACACAATAAGACTTACTTTGCCTAAAACCCTTGTCAGGATACACAATCTAGGATTCACCACCTATTCTAACTGTACTCTATTAAATCGGTCATCGAACGAATAATCAATTTTGATATTATTATTAAGTATTTCTGATGGAAATAACGACACAGGGAGATATTCATAAATGATACTACGAGTCAATCATAGAAAAGAATATAACATTATATTTAATCCAAAATCTTACAACATTAGATTTATAAATATCTCACTTATATGTTATTCAACGTTATCATTTTTACTCGATATAAAATTACAACTCTCTTGATCCACAAATATATACAATTTGAATCTTTCTTGATCAACTATCTGACTTCAAATAATAAAATTAAATTTTTTTTTGTGAAAGAGCATCTTTCTTCCCCGTAGAAGTTAAGCATAGTTGCAAAAGTCCTCACAGAGCCTTCCACAGTCTTTAGAAGCATATCAACAACGAGACTTGCTTGTTGACACCTCACTCCTTATTCTGTCACTCATGACCCGTTTAAAGTAAACAGATACTCCGTTATGTTTATGCATAAGATTCTTTTTATCCAATTTTTCATTTTAGTTTGTTTGTGTCGTTAACTATAGTAATCCATTTTAATGTGCCCCACATATATAGTTGTATATGTTAAGTGACGAAATTAACTTAAAATTTGAGTTTTTGAGGAACGCTTAACAATAATTTTACCTGGTTTTTGCTAGGAATTTTCCCAATTTAGAATAAATTGCTTATATCCCTTTTTGTGCAGGATTAGGTACAGAAATTGAAAAAAAGAAACCAATCAATTTCCTGTCGTTCACTCTAATGGGACACACTTACCTGACCCATTTTCGATATAAAGATCACTCTGACCCATTACCGATCAACCTTCAGCTCTAATACCACTTATTAGGCCTTTTGAGGGAGATTCATCAGGGAGAGACAATACCAACGAGACATAAGTTCAACCCGCATAAGGATTGACATTACTCTCAACCCAAATTGTATGGTGGCAGGTCACAGAAGCAAGGCCAAAGGTGACACTAGTGGTTAGGATGGCAGCAACGTTGGCAAATTATGCTACATCATGGACTGGGAATTTCAAACCGATGGGCTAATCAGAGCAAAGGTTAGTGATGGAAATTCAACTTTAATTCTCTGCATTATTTTTTAGGATCGGTAGTCCCGATGACCTCTGCAATGTGCATAATAAACAAATCAACATGTCATGTGATACATATAAAATATGGCTGTGATCCAAAACCTTGAAAACGTTTATCATTAATTAGTAAGGGAAGGCGGCTTTATGCAGTTTTTCTATATTTTCTCCCTTAAATCAGTGTGTAGTGAGTTATAAATTCCCATGTTACTCCCGTAATACAAAAATGGACAACTTGCCCTAAATAATGATGGTCTACGATAAGATGGATACACCTTTCTATATTGATGATGGCGGTTTGTCTTATTGTATTTAATAGTTTATGTTAATATCTAGCATTTGCTTGATATAGGTTGGACTGAGTGGTACCTTGATGGTGAAAGGAACTACCTATGAGAACATGGACCAAGTCCCAGACAAAGAATACCTTCATGGAACCCTTTTGAGTGAAAACATTATTGGTGTAATCCATGACCATTTTATCACATATTACTTAGACATGGACGTTGATGGCTCTGAAAATTCATTTGTTAAGGTAAACCTAAAGAAGCAAGAGAGCAGCCCAGGAGAGTCACCTAGAAAGAGTTATTTAAAAGCTGTTAAAAAAGTGGCAAAGACAGAGAAAGATGCTCAAATTAGACTTCAACTCTATGACCCATCCGAATTTCATGTGGTGAACCCATTGAAGAAGACAAGGGCTGGGAACCCTGTTGGGTACAAATTGGTTCCAGGTGCCACAGCAGCTAGCTTGCTGGATCCAGAAGACCCACCACAGAAAAGAGCAGCCTTTACCAACAATCAAATATGGGTCACTCCTTATAACAAAACCGAGCAATGGGCTGGTGGCTTATTTGTTTACCAGAGCAAAGGCGATGATACTCTTCAACTGTGGTCCAACAGGTCCAGATTCTTTTCATGATTCTACCTTTTTTGGTCACGGTTCAATTAATGCTATATCACGAACGCCTCATCTACTAAAAGTATTCACTCTAATAAATTTCTCAAACTGTTGATATTTGAACATGCAGGGATCGTCCAATAGAGAATAAGGACATAGTGTTGTGGTACACAATAGGATTTCATCACATACCATGTCAAGAGGACTACCCTATCATGCCTACTGTATCATCAAGTTTTGATCTGAAGCCTGTAAATTTCTTCGACAGAAATCCAATCCTTAGAGTGCCTCCCAATTTCGAAGATGATTTACCGGTTTGTAAAGCTCATTCAGCTTGAGATTCCATCACATCAGCTAGGCTTTAGTTTGATTACATGAATGATTTTCTTATACATGAAAATGATGCCCAGTCACCTTTAAATACAAAATTGATCAATATATCTGTTAATTTGATAACTTTGAATAAAGCTTCCTCTTTATCATCTCAGATTTAACAATGGAAAATATTTAGTAAAGAATAATATCAAGTCAAGTTTTCTGAGTGACTAAGATTCAATTATAATTACTTTTGTTTCAGGAAGATGTAAGTAAAGTGCGTTTCATGCACAGACAGGTTCCATTAAATGGTAATGCAGAAGGATTTTATAAGATTCCATTGGAAAGGTTTGTGAAAGATTAGTCAAAGCATACAAAAAATCTTCAAAAAGTTCAATTATATCAAGACTAAAGAAAATATGCTAGGGCAAGATCATTGAAACTCTGTAGAAGATCAAAATCAGGATACCAAGTAAACGTCTTAAAAGGATGTAGGAAGGATATAGTAAGGTTAAAAAACATAAAAATGTTTTCAAATGAATTCAATTGGATTTTATTATTAACAGTTTATCAGTTTTCAATGCTTTCTTTGTTATCTTTTTAAACAAATGGTTAATTTTTTCTTTAAAAATAAAATCTACAAAATTATTTAATGCGTGTAGATTATTTTTCTTAAAATTAAGAATATTAGTACATCAATATATATATATATACACACACACACACGTGTAGATAAATTATAAAAATAATTAAATTACAACATCTACTTTTATTGTTTAATCAAATTTTTATTATTTATTATTTATATTTCACTGCTTTTATTGTACATGCACAGTTACGAATAGATAAATTTTAATTTTAAAGAGTATTAGATTTACTTTATTAAAAAAGCAATAAAGATGGATTGGTAAAACTGAAAAACTTATCCAAACCAAACTGAAAGTATGACTTTTTAATCAAACCACATCATAAACTCCCAGATATTCAAAAATAATAAATGGGGAATTATAGTTTAACAAAATTGATGACATACTAGATTTGCTTAATTTTATAATTAGATACTTAATTAACTCCAAACAAAACTTGGAAGACTAAAATGAAGGATAAAGCTGAGAAGACTATTGAATGTAAGTGATTAAGTCCTTACCTTTAAACAGAACAAATACAACGTAAGATAAAAACAAATACGCTAGAGGTGCACAAGCAGCAAAAGTTTTGGTTACCTAAACAAGAAGCAACTCGAAACAGCTCGAAACTACGGCAAAAGAACAAAATAACCGATTCATCCTACCAGGAACACAGTCAACAACAGCAACCTCTTTGTACAACCAGTTTAGTTAATGTCTGACTCGGGCTTCCGTGCCAAGAAGAAGTACATTGGTGTGAAAATCTCTTTCCTGGAAAAGAGACAAAGCAAGTCATATTTCAGATTCCTCTGCTTAAGAAAAGTATTTGTTAGTGTTAGTTAATCTTCAAATTTATTAATCCATTGTTTCTCTCAAGGATAAGATGGACTCAGATAAGAGACCTTCAGAATCTAAATTGCCAAATATGAGAACAGTACTATACTGCTGAAGCATTCTCATTTTTACTCAGATGAGAAATTATATCCATAAATTTCATATGCATGGGTAGAAAGAAAGCGACATTTTAACTTACTTTCCTCCTTCGACTAGTCCCTCCGCAGCCTTCTCCAAAAAATCTTGAACCCTTAGACTACCCTTTGGAGCCAGTCCAACATACTCCAGAAACTTTACCTGCAGATATAAATTTGTAGCCCCCAATCAATATTAAATGAGTAATAAAAAGAAACGGATCCTAAAATTCTAAACATACTATGAAATTACAGAAGAACTCTATAAGTTATCATCCTTCTAGACCAAAAGAAGTGCAATAAATTAACAGATGACATTCAATAGCAATACCATGTTTTTGGTGAAAAGTCGCCCAACAGCAGTTAGGCGGAAGCTACTAAGTGAGAAATGACTTTTGTCTAAAGGCAAGTACCAAGGAAGAGGAGAGTCAGCTGCTAGATCTTTCTCCCATATTACCTTGTACACAGAAAAAAGGAGAGGATCCTCCTTTGGTCAGTTAGGTTCAGCTCTTGGATATACAAAAACCAACACTAGTGAAAGGTAACAACTAAAAAGAAATTGATATTCACCTCAAAACCTGCTTGCTTCAGAGCTTCAAGACACTTAGTGGTCAATCTAATGTCAGGAAGCCCATCACCAATCTCAATTTCTGCCTGTAACAAGGAAATTTATCGATTTAATTACAAACCAAAGAGGTTTCAACAGACCTACTAGATTAAACTTCAATCTACACAGCTCTAACATACCTTGATTTTTTGGTGCTCTGGGTTTTGGGGATCAAAAGAATCAGTCATGCACCATTCATAGGCAGCAAAATATTGGCCCGGCTTTAACACTCTAAAAATCTCTTTATAGCATCCATACTACCCATAATTCCATGCAGGAAAAATAAGTGTCAGCCAAAACACATTATAAACACAATTTTGTAGACTCACAATAAACACATGCACTTCATACTATCATGCAGGCCACATTGAAATTGGTCCATAATAACAATTTATAGGTGAATGGGTGTTAGCAATCAGACCACAGCCCATTTGACTACTGTAAGGCCCAAAATGATTACTACCACACTAGCCTATCTGAAGGATTATATCCCATAAAGCTCACTATGTCAGCATGTTTCTAGAAGTGCCAAGTCAAGCTATTTCTTTGCATAGAATAATTTAGTTATTAGAATAGGTAGATTGTTATTTCCGTTTCGTAGATTCCTTTTGCCTACAAATCAGGGCGGAGGACCCTCTGATTGTAACTAATTTGGATTTCCATGGCTATACATAGCCTTTCGAAGGAATGAAAAGGAAGGCTGGAAATCAAATATTTGTTTCATCTCTCCTATCAATTCTCAGGAGTTCCCTTAGCCATCAATTAAGGAAGAAAACACATAACAATGGGGGTTAGATATAAAGTTGTAGTAGTGGGGAAATTAGAATGTAAAACCCATTAGAGTATATGATACTGTCACATACAGCATCTGGAGCATGACAAGTGGCTTCAATTGCATACACTGCATCATAAGTGTTGTCTGGGATTGGCATTTTCATGAAGTCAGCCTGCATTATCATATACGATGTGTCAACTATCATTTCAAATCAATATACTCTTAGATCACATTGTTTGGTTATGCTTAATTTACAAAATAAGCATTTTAGTCAAAAGATTTTGTGTATTTGATTATAAGTTTTCTGAATACGGAAATAAGCTAATCCCAACATTCTTGATAACATATTCAATGTAACATTAACTCGAGCAGAAGAATTTTATAAAACAATGGAATAAGTTCTGAAATAAAAGGTCACCTACTCCCATAAAGGGATATAATTGATATACAAAAATCAACCTTGATAAAATTGCAAGTCTGGTCCACTCCCGCAATGCAATTGAGTTCCTGTTATTTAGCAAAAATCTGTCAGTGAACAAAGTATGTAGAAATTTCATCTACTGTGCTATCATTTTTCAAATTATTGATAATTCAAACTATTTCGTCATTTAACAAGGCAGACTATGCATATTAAATTAACAAAAGATGACTGTCATGAGTACATTGACTATTATTAACCCTTAAACAATGCATCAATGTTTTGCCAGAATAAATAACATTACCAACAGTAACAGTATACTAGAATCTATAAGGCTTTAAAAACTATATGTGATGATTGAACTAAAGTTCAAAACAACTATGTCAATGTATTAACATTTACACCTCAAAACTGTTGTTTCAGTGCACTTAATTTCCTAACCCATACCTTTCCTCTCGTTATCTGGTACTCATTATTATTCAACCCAGTAATTGAAGTTGAGCTGCACAGATACCCCTTGAATTTTGTTAGCCGGTAAAGGTAAAACAGGGAAAGGCAAAGGGAGAGGAAGCCTAAATGAAGTCAACCTTGTTTACCTGAATCGGGAAATTTCTCTTAATGGTCCACCAATTCCACATCCAACGTCCAAAACCTAAAACAAATTATAAAGCCTCATGAAATTTTAATAATAAAACTGTTAATCAGACATCAGCCTGCTTCGTTGCTTTATTTAACATATGAAAACCTTCTGCCCTGGCTTCAGTCCAAGTTGTAAAGCAAGGAAGTGTTCATGTCGCTTGATGCTCTCCCGAAGAGATTCCTCTTTCCATCTGCAAGACAAGAAAAATATCAACATGGTTAAAGTAATAGAAAATTATTCAATTTGTTAGTGCAAAATTAAGTAAATGGACACCTGGGTGCAAAATGGAAAGATTCCCCCCAGCCAAACTCATAAAAGCTGGTAACAAGATCATAGTATTTATTCACCTGAAAACAAATGCAGATCAACGTTTTGCACAAAATCAAATTGACTATAATTAAGATAAAAACACATTACTCGATAACTTCACAAGTCAGAAGTTATTGAACATCACTTATTGATCAAAGAAAATAGCTGTAAAGTAACAATAAACATTCATTAATAATTAAAAGAAAAATATTGATGTAATTTGATCATTTGAACATGAAGTTGGCTTAATAATCAATTTAACGACCTAAATATTCAAAATATGGTTTGGATATTGCCTCCTACAATTGCATACCTACACAAAAATTGTAAAGTTTTCAATTTTCCTAAACAACAGTTTTTGTTAGCATCTTCTAGGATTACACTCATTTAGTATTTCAAGAAAAAAAAATTGTTTCCCAAGTGGAGAAAGAGTAAGCAGAAAAATCAGAAAGAATGAGGCCGGGCATACAATATGCATCTGAAAAGAAAGTTAGAGCTATGGTTGTCAATATTAATAACTCTCACCATGTCGCTATAGTTAGCTTTCCTCTCTTCCTCTTGACCTCCATAGCAAACATGATACTTCTCATACCTGAACCATAAATCAGTACATTTATAAGCTCCATGTTCTAAAAGAAAAAGAAAATGAAAATTGTCATGCATAGCAACAGCCACTATTTTATTTCTTAGACATATGCGCCAGCAACAAGGGTATACCTCAAACTCATATTCTTGAACGGCAATGCCTATGCCTAAATATAATTTAAAATATTCATATCAACTCGTGATTTTAATTGTAGCCAATCAACTAATTGCAATCCATAGTACTCAAATTTCGTTAATTTTACAAAGCAAATTTTTAAGTGTTCACGATTCCTATGTTTAATAAAATAATGAAACAGACTTAAATGTATAAATTTGAAATTTAAGATACACCGTTCAGGGTAGCGCGAGGTAAATCTCTCAGTTCATTCTCTTCCAAATTTTTCTAGAAAAACTGTCCACTGTTTTTATTCAAACCAAAAGAATTGAACTAGAAAACACAAATTGATTAGCTAGTACAATTCTGAAACAATTGCCCAATTTCATTTTAACTAGCACATTTGTAATTACCATCAGAGATATTTGCTTAGCAACGAGAAATCTGAAATCATTTTTCAGTTTCGTTAAACCTATTCACTCTCAATATGTTGTTACTTTAGCTGAAAGTCACGAGCTAAAAGCGACAAGGTGGACCCAGATATGATTTATTTTCAATAAAGTCCAAAACATTCCAGGTAAGATCATAGACCTTTAAGTTCCACCCCCAACATTTTAATATTTTTTTACACAAATGCACATCGTGATCAGTTTACATCAGATCGAACCAGAATATTCTTCACTTTTTATTTTCTTTCATTTACATTAACAAAATCGGAACTAGCGTGTTTGACATCAAAAAAATTCAGGAATCTCCATCCGCAAGCATTTTTTTCTTTAAATAAATCGATCCCTAATATTCAGGGTTATAGAGTACTGAACCCCTGTATTATCAGATTCAATACTTTCCCATCCAAATAATTACAAATATTACCATTTTAATAAACAAATAAATCACTAAAAACCCACTATTTTGCTGTCATTAAAAATTGAATACAGTCCCCAAATTTTCGCAGCCTACAATCACGTAAAAAGCTCCTTTCAACCAGATCAACGCACCAAAAATGATTTTCAAACACTCCCAAACCTGGATTTGACTCCTCATTCCTAAAATTTGATTCGAAAATCAGTTATTGAAACAATTGTGATAATTCAAATACACATATAACAAAATCTGAAATTAACTATAATCAACCCTTGATTTTCTAATTAAGGATTATTATTATACTTAAACCCTGTGCACTATCCCTAAAATAATTGCGCAACTCTGCAAGTGAGCAAGTAACACAGAAACCTCATTTTGAAGACAACAAAACCTAGACTCGGAGTCTGAAATCAACATGCAACCACAAAATCGTAATCAGAATAAATTAAAAGAAAGAAAGAAAGAGATCGTATATACTTCTCAACGGCAGAGAACACTTCCGTCTTTTCAATCTTGCCACCAAGATTAGATGCCAAATCCATTGCTGCTGCAACTTTCGGTGCCGTTGGCGGAGCTCAGAACGACTTCGTTTCGATCTAGAACGCAGTGAATTCGTTTTCGTCAAAGGAAAAAGAAAAACTAGAGAAAAGGGGGAAATGGAGGGAATGAAGATGCAGATAAGAAAATGCAGGAAGGGAAAAGGAGAAATAACTCACAGCTGGGGGAAAAAGAGAGGCGGAGGAAACTATGAACAAGGAAAGAGAATGTGAGAGAAGTGTTAAATAGAAAATGGAAAAGGGAGCATAAAACTATGTGAGTTTATGTGTCCTCATGCATGCCAACAAAATCGTGAAGACCACAAGTGAGTTGGTAAAGGAATCAGAAATGGGGTATATTGCAATAAAATTATAAATAATATATTAATTTTTATAAATATTTTGGTTCACACATCTTCTTATAATTTTATTTTATTTTTGTAATACTAACCTTTTTTTATTTTGGTAATTTTATTATTATTATTATTTTAATTAAGTGATATAAATGTGAATATAATTTGCTAAACTATTTTCATTAATTCACATCTATTATAATAACATTTTTTATACATATGAAATGAAAAAAGTTTCCTATTATAAAAAAAAAACTCTCAGGTTCATTATTGAGATCATACATTAAAGTGAAAACTGAAAGACATTAACATATAAAAAAATTTCAAACCCAAATCAACATTAGTTAATTTAAAATAACTCGTGATTAACATTAGTGAATATGGATTTTGTTTAAATTGTTAGAAAATATATTTTATAACAAAATATGGATGAATTAAACCCATACATTTTTTAAAATGTAGACACTAAACAAATTAACTTATTATATTATAATAACATATTTCAAATATAGGTATTTAATATTTTTAAAAAATATTTATTATATAACACAAAGCCAAGTCGCATTTTTGTTTAAAAGATTACAAGTGTATAATTTGTCAAGTATTGTCAATTGTTGAAATTTATTTACATTATGCTATTCATTATTAAAATAGACTTCATTGATTGTAATAAAGACTTTTCACTGATTCATTAAATTATAATATACAAATTACATTAATGAAATTATAATCATAAAAACGTTTCGGTAATCAATTAAACAATAATGAAATGTAGATAGATTACATTAAACACTATAAACTCTTTTTTTAATGAATCATTAAATAATAAAATAAAAGTTACCCATTACCTTATGTATTCTTACTCATTTACTTATTAGAATATCATATACATTGCATTTTTTTTATACCACTCTTTATTTTTCTTGTGCTACAAATTTGGTAAGAAATGCAATTGATTTCTTGTTCATATATGTTTAATAGAAACCAATTTAAACTTATGTTTAAATCATTATAAGAATTATTAATTTTTTTATAAAAAGAAATTATATAAAGAAAAACTTTAATAGAGATATTTTCATTTTATCAATCATTTTTCTTTTTTTTAATTCTAAAATTTAAAAATACAGTTTTGCTTTTCTAATTAAATAAAAACAAATAAAATCGTATATCATATAACTTTTTTCTCAGTCCAACCAAGTTTTTTTTATATTTATTTTTCTTTGTCAGGCCTTAATCAGTGAGTTTTAATCTCCATTTTTAGTCCTCATAATTATCAGACATGACAGGTATGTATATAATATAAAAATTTCAATCTCTTTCTTCATTCATGCTTCTCTATCTTAGAATGCATGGAATTAAAAGCTTTCCATATACATCAATGGTTTTTTTCTTGCACTTTCAAATAATTGGGTTATTTCTCATGGTTTTAATTTTAACACTTTGAAAATTTTTAAAGCATCACATAATGATAAATTTGAAATGTGGAAATGGTGAAAGTTGAGTTTTTTGAGAGTATAAATCAATGGCCATCTTAAAAACTCTTTCTGCTTCGCCAATTTTTCAACCACCATGTCCTATTTCAATTCAGCACTGTCACCTCAATTACACAATTACTTAATCTTATTGCATTATTCATTGCTGAGGAAAACCATAAATTTGAACACAAGTGGCACCAGATTAATGGTATAGTCATTGCTATTCATCCTACATGACTAACTTCATTGATTTCACATAACATTGAATTAAAGGAAATTATATTAAAAAGACCAATTTCGTACCCAGAATCTCAATCAATTTTTTTTCCTATAAAAAGTAAAAACAATAAAGAAAAATTAGACATGTATATATATATACACACATAAAATCTAAAAAAAAAAAAAATAATTCCTTTGTTTCACACTGTAATCATCTCAAAAGAGGGTTTGTACCAGTGGAACTACCTAACCTTTCAACATCTTCAACCCTTCTAGAATCTTCTTCCTCCTCGTCATCATCGCCGCACTCGTACATGGATCCGACGAGAAAAAGCTGATCTTCGAGGTACCGATGCAAGAGGCCCTTCTCCTCCTGCTCCTCTTCGCAGCAACCTTCCTCGCAGCGGCGGAGACGATCGGCGGCGGCGGAAGCGGAGTCGCGGCGGAGGAGCTTCCGCCAGAGGCGGCTGCGGAGGCAGAGCTCGGCGGCGCAGAGGAAGGGGAGGGCGGCGCAGAGGAGGAGGAGGATTAGCGGGGAGCAGATGAGGAGGAAGAAGTAACGGATCCGTCGGCGGCGGAGCCAGGAGGAGGCAGCGGCGGCGGCGTTGGTCAGCATGCACGAGGGCGACGCGGGATCATGGGCGCGGTAGGGTTGGAGAGTCGGGTGGTAAACGACGTCGTTTTTCGATGATATGTGCGGTGGTCGTGGTGGATGCGATGTGCCCCCACATGGGTTGTGCATGAGATGATGATGATGTGATGAAAAAATGTGAAGTGAAGTTGGAACATGTGATGTTGACTCTGAAGCTTCGTGTCATTTCCCTCTCCTCAAACAAACCTCCTATTATAAAGTTTAAACCGTTTTCCCCCAATTTTACTCTCCCTTGGACCTTTTAAGCCCACCCCGGCCCATCACCTCTGGCCCACTTCTTCACTACATCAATTATTACTAATTGCTACATCTGAGTCATTATTTGATCATATGCTTTTGAACCGTGATTACTAACGCATTGAACTCAATAAACATTAATTATATGTAATAAAATTCATAGTTTTGCCAAATTCTGTGTACCTAATGAAATCATCTTCTCTAAATTTTATTGAATTGGAACCTTTTTTTATGACAAATCAATTCAGCACTATGAAATATAAGGAGCTTTCCTTTTATTTAAAAGTCATATATTATCTATTATATTAAAACAAATATAATAACATCCGAATTAACTTTCACTAAATAATCTTCAAAACTCGATTAATAATTAACTTTCACTATTATTCTCTTTTAAATAACCTAATAAACACAGTTACTTTTCACTAATAAAAAATATTTAAATCAATTTTACAGAATACTTAAACATAAATTCATGAATAATGAAATTAGAGAAAAAAAAACATGACACAATCCATGTCCCTTGTTATTTAGACCAACACTTAAACAAAGATGTTCATTCTTATCCAGATTACGAAATAAGAACTCATCTTGGGGATGAAGAAACTCATGTGCGTGTCCTTATTTTCATACCAAAAAAACTGAACCCAAAAGAAATTAGGTAGAGAAATGATTCATATGGAAACCTAAGTTGTATCAGAAATAGATTTTCAATAAAAAAAAATGTTATTTTTTTTATAATACAAATATAGAAACTCATGTGCATGGACACAAAACCCAATACAACTAAAATTATGTCCAAAGTGGTCCTTTCGGAAACCTTCCAAGTTGTATCCAAATGGATCACATGATGGAACCAACCCTCTGGAATTATTTGATCTAGAAATAGAATTATGAAAATAATTAAAAACAATATATAAAAAGGGCCATAATTGCAAAAAATAATACTTTTCAATGAGGTGCAAACTGCTAAATCTACTTGTCTAGGGGTTGGCTTAAAATGTGAAAATTAAGAATTTATGAAAACATAACTTCTATTAACTAATTGACGAAGAAATTTGAAAATCTAATTTTAATTTTTTTTTCTTAAGAATATTTATAGAAATTTTCTTCCTAAATTCCTTAAATCTCATGTTAAATTGGTTTGTATATTTTCTCCCTTGTCCCCCGTAACAAATAATTTTATAAAAAATCGTTATAAAAATTAGATTCGTAAAAAGAAAAACGTATCATTTTGTTTTATAAAATTGACTTAAAACCAAATGTAACTTTATAAGAAAATATAGAAAGTATAATCTATCTTAAATTATGCAAAGATATTTTAATATTTACATCATAAATATACCATCTTATTATATAGTAATTTATACATATCTTTTAAATGAAGTATAAATTTTTTTCTCCTTAATGATATAATTAATAATTTGAAACATCATTTAGTATATATCTAAGTTCAAATAAGATAAACTAATGATAAAAAACTTAAATCTCAAATCATATACACACTATTTCATTTTTTTCATAAATTATTTTGTCATATAAAATAATTAAATAAAAAATAAAGTATCTACTACTTAATATAAATTACATGTTATGTCATCATATACTTATACATATATTACACATATTTAACCCTAATTTTGGAAGACTCTCATGGTTAAATTTGATTCAAAGATTTATATTTGTGGCACTACATTTCTTAAGTTGATATAACATAAGTACATAATTAGAAGATATTCCCTCATGTGACAAGGTAAATTCTTATAACTTGTCAGACCAAGATTTTGTTCACGTTGCAATCTAAGTTATAAAAACTTCTTTCAATTCTCACCATATGATATTTTTATCTATATATAAGTTTAGTATCAACAAAATTAAAATATCTCCTTCAAAATTTCAAATTCAATATATCACATACATTTCAATATACTATTTTCCTCATAAAAAAACTACAATATTAATTTTCATTAATACATTATAGATATAACATACATACAAAGATATTTATAATATTCCTCATATCACAACAAAATATTTTTATATATACATAATAATACTCAATACATATTTAATATTTATAACATATTTTAACATTCTAAGTCATATAGATATCATATATATATATATATATATATATATATATATATATATATATATATAAAAGAAAATATTTTATATTTATAATTTCCATTGTTTTTAAGCTTTCAAAATAAGAAATATTCACTTAAGTGAAACTCCTTTAAAAAACTAGAGTTCTTCTTTGAATTAATTTTGTTTGAAGGATGTGCTTTTTACTTTAGCGAAACTACAACAAAAACAAGTTTGCACTCCACTAAATTTTTTTTACTTAAGCAAAAAATTCTCACTTTAGTGAAAATGAGACATGCAATGAAATTCATCTTTATCTAAGTGAGCATTTTCTCAATCTTTCTCACTTAGTGAAAATACTTTAGAAAGAATGTTTTAACTCTTTGGCACATTTCATTAAAGGACAAATTATTAGTTGAACGAAATATGCAAATAATATACCAACATAACTCATATTAAACCAGTTTCAATGCATTAAACATGATTCTTTCACCATAAAAAAATTTCCAATTAGCTATGAAAATTTGTTACAACATTTATTTTTCACTAATTTGTAGTTATTTAACTATGGAATAGTAAAGGAATGAAGTTGTAGTTCATCTGTAGTAAAACAGCTAAAAGATAATATTTTTGTAGATATTTCCTCACTTAGTAGAAAAATAATTTAGCTAGGAAATTTTTTTTATCACTAATTCCTAGCTATAAATATTAACTATGTTATTTTTTGAAGTTATTTCTTAGCTAAATTATATAACATACCATCATAGTTAAATTGTAGCAAATTTATAGCAAAAAAATAATTATAAAATTATTTAAAAATTATTTTTACCAAATTTATTACAAATATATTAATTATATATATATATATATATAAATTATTTTCTATGTCTGAAATAAATTATTTAAAAATAATTATAATTTTTTTGAAAAAAATATCTAAAAAAATTGATAAATATTTAAAATTATTTTCTGTAAATTTTTTTATAAATTTAAATTTGTAGGAAATATTTAATAATTTAAATTAATAGAAAATTTTATAAATAATTTCTTATAATTTTTTTTAGAAATTAGTCTTTATAAAAAAACAGTATTATATTAAAATATTTATTTAATTAAATATTATTTTAAATATAAACATCTTTAATATATTTTATAAAAATTATAAAAAAATTATAATTTTTTAATAAAAATATTAAATTAATCTTTGTTTTTTCCAAAATTTTGTTCCCTCTCTAACTACCTCTCCTTCCTTCACTTTCAACTAAGACCTAAACTGTATTTGCTATTGCCGCCGCTCCAGCTACCGCACTGATGTCATGTCGTTGCTGCTGCCTAATGTGAACAGTGAGATATGCATTAGAGGAAATATATATGGTGAAAATGATTTGGACTATTATGGTATTATTGAAGAGATATTAGAATCGTCTTGCCTTATTATTTTACGTTGCCATTGATTTGATCCTTTTCATGGTGTTAAAGTTGATGACATATATGACTTGTTGATATCAAGCATAAATCAAAGCTTCAATCAAATGAGTCATTTGTATTAGCTCAACAGGCTCAACAAGTGTTTTATACAAGATACCCACAAAATAGGGGTAAAAATAATGGTGATTGGTGGGCAACTTGCAAGGTTAGAACAAAATTATTTATGATTGAGACATTGAAGAATGAAGATGATTTGTCAAATGAGAAAATTATTACTGATTATTTTCAAGATGATGGATCAATGAGAATGCCTAATATTCTTACTAATGATGAGGAGATACAATTGTTTAATGCAAATGCCCCAATGGAAGAAATAAAAATGGATGATGTTAATTATTCAATTAATAATGTTCACGATGTTGAATTCAAAAATGACGATGATGAGTTCATGGATGAAGAGATGGAGTTAGATAATTCAAGTAATGATTTAGACAGTTCAAACGAGGAGTAGTTATGAATGAATCATCTTAAGTTTATTTAATGATAAATATGTTATGTTTAAATTAAATTAAATTAATTATTTTCTACTATTTTTTTATATTTGTATACTAATGACATGTTTCTTTAATGCATTGTATTTCTATGTGTAGAAACTCAAATACCTCCTTGAGGAAGAGGAAGAGGTCGAAGTTTTATTACTCCATTTCATCCTTCTCAATCTCGCATTAATCCTCCTCGAACTTGATTCTATTTTGCACTTACCATGTATAGTACAAATACTTGAATGATATTTTATTTATTAACTTTTAAATTATTTGAATATAATGTATTGTTCATTGTTCTTGTCTTAACTGCTACTTCCATCCATGAACCATCAACTAAGGTTGCCCAATCAACTAGGGGTGGTTAATCAACAACCACCATCCCACCAATTGATGTTGATCAATCAAATGTTGTCCCAATGTATGATAACCCACCATCTACGAGAGGAGTCTTCAAGTGAAAATTCTCATAATAAAGTTGATAGAAGACTTGTTATATCCGTGCAATGAGTTAGTAACACGTAAGTGGAACTAAACTTAATTATTAGTTATTCATCTTTATATTACTAAATCATAATAATTTATATATTAAAAATTTTTAATTGTAGGAGGAAGTTTGTTTCGATTTAGTAACTTCGAGATATTATATCCGAGTTATTTATGAAAATGCCGGATCCAAGCACTAAATTGGAAAAATTATTCTGTTGATATGAAAAAATTTATTCAATGATTTTCATGGTTAGTAATTATTGTGTTAAAATACTTAAATAGTTTTGCTTTAACTTTTGTATTAAA